TAGCTTGACATTGAGAAGATGAAGTTTGTAATAGCTTGACATTGGGAAGATGCTGTTTGTAATAGCTTGACATTGAGAAGATGCTGTTTGTAATAGCTTGACATTGTGAAGATGCTGTTTGTAATAGCTTGACATTGCGAAGATGCTGTTTGTAATAGCTTGACATTGTGAAGATGCTGTTTGTAATAGCTTGACATTGAGAAGATGAAGTTTGTATTAGCTTGACATTGAGAAGATGAAGTTTGTAATAGCTTGACATTGTGAAGATGCTGTTTGTAATAGCTTGACATTGAGAAGATGCGGTTTGTAATAGCTTGACATTGTGAAGATGCTGTTTGTAATAGCTTGACATTGCGAAGATGTTGTTTGTAATAGCTTGACATTGCGAAGATGCTGTTTGTAATAGTTAGACATTGTGAAGATGTAGTTTGTAATAGCTAGACATTGTGAAGATGTAGTTTGTAATAGCTTGACATTGAGAAGATGCTGCTTGTAATAGCTTAACATTGTGAAGATGCTGTTTGTAATAGCTTAACATTGTGAAGATGTGTTTGTAATAGCTAGACATTGTGAAGATGTAGTTTGTAATAGCTTGACATTGCGAAGATGTAGTTTGTAATAGCTTGACACTGAGAAGATGCTGCTTGTAATAGCTTAACATTGTGAAGATGGCCCTAACCAGGTGATTAGCTATCTGAGCTTGTAAGTAGTGTATGTAAGAATTTTCAGACTGGAGAAGAGATGAGAGGCAAGGGGATCTACAACTCATTCACTCAAAGGTCCTTGACACAAATTAAGAACGCTCCCACCTACAAGCTTGCACTGAGTTACAGAGGTAGATCTAAGAACCAAGAAATCAAAGAAAACAAGATTTTTTATTATTCGGTTATTTTTTTCATAACATTTGTAAATATTTTCACGCTATACACCTCAAATCCTTTGGTTGGTTTCTCACTTTATGACCCAGACCAGTGCTTTTTTGAGAATACTATTCTCACTCACTCTTACATAAGCATGTTGCCATTGACATGATTTGCTCCATATTCTAATAGTACAACTCTCATCAGGTTCATCATTAATGTGACCTTGACATCTAAAAATTAAGAACATCTTAACACGAACAAGTTTCAGACCTACTTTATATATTAATTAAGATTTGGTTGATAACTGCCAGTGAGTGAATAATCTTCAGCAGAAAACCTCTGATAATATCATTCATATATACTAGAGTGCTCTAGAAGGGGTTTTACCATGAAATAAAAACATGTTACATAATAGTGCCTGATAGAGCATTTGAATGCAAAAATGTCATTCAGATATTCATATATATTCTAGAGTGTTCTAGAATGGTTTTTACCACAAAATAAGAACAAGTTACATTAAATGACTGATAGAGCATTTGAGTGGAAAAAGTCATTCAGATATTCATATATATTCTAGAGTGTTCTAGAATGGTTTTTACCACAAAATAAAAACAAGTTACATTAAATGACTGATAGAGTCATTCAGATACTCATATACTTGAGTGATTTTTTATAACAAGTTACATAATAGCTGATAGAAAAAATTGAATGAAAAATAAAGATTGCATTAAAAGTCATTTAGTCGTATTCTGATGTGATCTCAAAGAGTTTTTACCACAAAATACAAGTGGTTGCCTAGCAAGATACGCCCACTTTCCTCATACATTTTCAGTATATCAAGGGCAGTCACCTATCTGTGTCAAATCATACCAAAAATCTAATTTGTGCAAGATATTGTTGAGTTAAACAAAGACACATTATTTAATAAAATTCTGACATAAACTGTCACCTCTTTCGCCAACAAATTTTGATGAGTTTTTTCTAAGTCATGGGCCATAACTCAACTTCTGTTGATCGAAAAATTGTCAAATTCATTCTTGACTAAGATCTCATCATTATAAATGATCATACCAAATTTCATTTAAATCGAATGAAAACTGTAGTCTCTATTGTGTTCACAAACAAATTTTGACGCATTTTTCATAAATCAAGGGCAATAAGTCAAAAACCGTTCATCGAAATATAGCTTTAACCAATAAAATAGTAACAAGTTACTATTTAACAGTGTATTGGCAAAGTGTTAAAGCAGTTTTTACTAATTGTCGAGGTTAGGGTGGTTGAAAGGTAACAAGTTACTAGTCAACAGAAGGTACTGGCACAGGGTTAAAGCAGTTTTCACTAACATTAAGGCTAGTATGTTAAAAATGAAATTTGTAATACTTGTAACATAGACCTAAAATTCAAAGATATTATCACAATGTCTTCGAATTAAAGGAGCACCCACCTTCTCTATCTGTTTGACCAATCATACCTTAGTTTCAGAAACAGGAATTTTTTTAGCTTACGTAATCAGTAATAGTGTTCACAGCTCATCTTGAAATTTGAGCCTTCAAATCCATGTGTATCCATAATTATTCATGTTTGAAGACTAAAAATTTGACTTTAATTTTAGTGAGACTGTGCCATATATAGAAAACACATTAGACAGTGAAATTTCTAGTTTGAGGTATATTTGAAGGGATTATGCTATTTTCGTGCCTTTTGGTACATCTTAAAAATATTAAAGCACAATAAAGACCCAGAACAATTCCTGAAAATGTAGACTGTTCCCCTTTAAACTTATTCTTTAACTCTAATACAAACGGTTGAGAGACTTTGAAATAAATAATTATTCCCTTCAGTAAAGATTTAAAAAAATAAACATTCAGTCATTCATTGTTGAAAGTTTATGAGAAGATATGTCAATTTGAAATCTTTTTTATTATTTCAACTTCACATATTACAAGTTTGAGCGTACAAATTGAAACAAAATCCTTAAATGACTTTTTAATACAATAAAACGACTGAGAGCATGTGAATAAAGATGTAAAATTACACAATAATAGTAAACAAGATCATACAAAACTTAATAGGAGAAGACCAACTAACCTTTTCAAGGCAGTCAACCCAAACAATATAAAACTTGGTGATTACCATTGAAAACAAGTGACAACATATCATAATACACAGCACATGATAATCATATCATCTTCTATATCATCAGGCTATAGCATGTCAATTCATATTTCCTAGAGAAGTTTTAGTGTGAACTTGTGAGAAATCCACAAAAAAAATTGCAAATATATGCATCTTAGTCTGGGTTATATTCTACACTGTTGTACTATTTTCTGTTTATAGAAACACCAGACATCACCCTTGGTTATATTCTAAAGAGTGGTCCACTGTTTGTACTAGTGTCTGTTTATAGAAACACCAAACATCACCCAACTCTAGGTTATATTCTAGAGAGTGGTCCAATGTTTGTACTATTGTCTGTTTATAGAAACACCAGACATCACCCAACTCTGGGTTATATTCTAGAGAGTGGTCCAATGTTTGTACTATTGTCTGTTCATAGAAACACCAGACATCACCCAACTCTGGGTTATATTCTAGATTGTGGTACACTGTTGTACTATTGTCTGTTTATAGAAACACTAAACATCATCTAAATCTGGGTTATATTCTAGAGAGTGGTCCAATGTTTGTACTATTGTCTGTTCATAGAAACACCAGACATCACCCAACTCTGGGTTATATTCTAGATTGTGGTACACTGTTGTACTATTGTCTGTTTATAGAAACACCAAACATCATCTAAATCTGGGGTATATTCTAGAGAGTGGTCCAATGTTTGTACTATTTTCTGTTTATAGAAACACCAGACATCACCTTACTCTAGGTTGTATTCCAGAGAGTGGTCAACTCTCTCAGTGCAGTGTCTTTTGTAATCAGCTGCACCAATTTTCTCTTGAACTGCAGTTGCATCTATGTCTGTTCCCTCATTTTACTGCAGTAGTTAAAAACATTTATGAAATTGAGATGAAGGTTTGTAACAACTCAGCAGGGGGATTTATCTCCATGTATATCATACCCAGGTGGTACATTGTATTACATTGTATGTATTAAATATGGACTCAGACAACTAATATTTCACTTGTTCACTTCCCATAAATCATCTTTTCTATTTCATTTCAAAATTCTCAATTTCAGTTTTCATCTTTGGTGGTTTTTTGGAGATTTTTCATCTTATTTTAGCATTTCCAACTTGGAACACTAGTATACGCTACTTTTATACATTGACTTTTAAAAAAGGTTTTCACAAGTTTGTATTTCATTACAAAATAATCATATTTCAAATGATTTCTTTAGCCAGTTTGATTTTCAAATTCATGTGTTTTTCATATCTTACAAGAGAACAAGATATACACTAGATCATGCAAGCTATTTCAACTGATTTTTGCATAAAATAAATGGTTCTTGAAACTTTATCTACGTAAAAAAATATACCTCATGCAACTTTAGAATTTAACCCACATTTTCATCCCAGTATTGGCTATAAATTTTCTATCAAATGAAAATCAATTTCATTAAGAATTTCTTAGTCATGTGACATTGACTGACAGCTAGAATTAGGTTCTAAGTAAGTTAGATCATGTATTGTACAATTTTTGTAGTTCAGAAGAGGGCTAGAACTTTACAATTTTTAATTCACATCATGGTGGTTGTCTTTGGTGAACATTTAAAAGCCAATTTCAAAGTTTTATTCAGAGTTTTATCATATGTCAAAAATATCCAGACAAAGCAGACGTGAAAAGGCACATACACTCAGAGAAATAAGAATTTAAATTGTTTTAAATCTTTTGTCTGACTCGTGTACCTATTTCTGAATTTTAACATAAAAACTGTTTCAAAAGGACAGATGGATGTCAGTTGTAGAAACAGCAGATGGTTAACAGTCTGAAACACTGTAACAATTTCATTTGCACCTCCGTCTCACGCAGAAAAACACTCCGATTAAAAATTGGTGGAATTTTTAAACGCCTAAAAATACAACGGATAGGAAATAGTCAAAAGTGGGTAGTGGGTGTTGGCAACATGTGAGAAAACATTTCTACCTTCTTCATTGAAAACTTCAGCATGGGTGACCTTACTTACCTTTATTGTGTAAGCTCCTGAAGAGTTTAGTCGAACCACGTGAATGTGTTGGTGTTAAACGTAACATTGATTCCACATCTGCTGGGTTAAGGCGGTGTTGCCCAATTCTTGCTGAAAAATATAAAATTTTATTATGGTTAAAAATGAAAAGTCAAAATCTTTTTTCAACTTTCACTTTTAATTTAGTGAGGCAAATGTTCACATGTGTACAATGCTTCATCAGGCAAGGCTCAATATTCCAGAGAAATATATCGGCCATTTGACAGGAGTTACAAACCAACCAGTTTTATCAACTTTTCAAACTAAATTCTCAACAAATTCAAATCCTAAGTTTTTTCGAGATCAGTTCCTGGATATTGGAATAGAGTACAAATGGAAACTGGTGTAAAATATACTCATACAAGTTTCAGAAAACCTTTACAAAGAAAAAGAAGTTTTTTAAACTATTAATCTGTATTGGTGACACTGATATCATCAATTTGCACCATTCAAAGTTTTAATCAGACGTCTGTGGTTCATGCAATTCCAGTAAAAGTAAGCCATCAGAATCACATGTTGAATTACAAGAACCACAGACATCTAACTGGAAAAATTGGAATGGTGCAAATTAAAGCTATCAATATCCCCTATACACGTAACAAGGCAAAAAAACCTCTTTGCAATATACTTTAAAATTCAGCAAGACTAGGAATCTGGCATTTCAGATCAAAACAAGTGGTAAAACACCTTTAAACATTATCAGTTGCTATCTTTTACCAAATTTCACAAATATCGGAAAGTGTAATTTAGTATAGCTTGTAAAATTTTAATCTTTAACTAGAGGATAATTACACTGAAAACATTTCTAATTGGTCTTCAATCTATCCTCACTTTTATCTTTTAACTCTCAGATTA